TCTCTTTTTTCGTGATTGAATATTCGTGCAATTGAATCCGGCTAACCTTCCTTGCGATACGACCCGGTGTTGAATCTTTCGATTCTACTCCGGTAAAAATACTTACAACAACGGCCTCCATCACAGTCCGTCTGCCATTCCGTAACAACCACGTTGTTCGGCGTCAAACACACATTCTCGATCCCCATCGAAAGATCGACAAATAAATTCGTGAAACACACGTCCAACTCTTGAAATCGGTAGTCAATATGTTGAAACCGATCGTTGAAGGTGGCATCACGTTGGTTGTTTGCAGCATCTTCTCATCCCGGCGACATCGCAAATCGTACTGACTGCTGATACCAACTGATGTAGGGTAAGCGTGAACGAACGAGAAGATATAAGGAGATACTCTCTCCAGAAAACGGGATACTCTTCCAAAAGAAAAACACGATCAATTTTTTTATTCATCAAAATCTCAACTGCTTAACACAAAAGATGAGAGTCCTTTAAATAAGAATCTAACCCTAAACTTAGCTATTCCCCAAGCTAATTATTAGTTAATAATAATAATAATAATAATAATAATAATAATAATAATAATAATATTTATTATAATATCTGCATCAATATGTCACCAACATTATAATGGAAGAAGCATGAGAATATGTCATGTCACCAACTTAAACATTAATAAGATCGTAAAACTGAACTTTATTTATTTCTTCTCCATTTTATTTCATATAAAGACACACTTATTACATACATATAATATATTATGTTTTTGACACACATAAGTCAACATGGTTGTACAGTAGAGACAGACTTGATAAGTGGAGAAGAATAAAATTAGCAAGTTTATAACAACGGCAATTAGACGTTCCCTAGGAATGTGAATGCGCCGGCGAGAAAACTTGCAACAAAACCGAGTAACGCTGAAACAACTATCCCGACAAAGCTAACTGTGGCAACAAGAGTGCCGTTAACGGTGGAAAGCACGGGGCAAATTGCAGGGTCGAGAGGGAGCTGAACACTGGCAACACACGGAAGAAGATTGGGCAAGCCTCGAAGAAGACTGGTCAAACCAGGAACAGTAATGTTAAACGTCCCGTTAATGCCTGTCGTGGTTTGACCGACTGTGGTGGTTACACCGAGGAAATTCGTGCAGTTGAGGCTAACAAGGGCTCCGGAAACACCTTGTCCGGGGCAATTTCCGGTGGGCGTGCAGCAGAGTTGGCCGCTTACGGTTAGGCCAGTCACATTCAACTGCAGGCCGTGGGCCAGGGGGTTTGAGGCGGCAAAGACGAGGGCAACGAGGAAAAGGGCTAAGGCGCGGTTGTGAGCCATCGAATAGTTTTTGTAAGTGTTTATATTTTTGTGTTGTGAAGAATGTTAATTGGTAGTTTTCTTTGTTAAGGTTGTGGTATTTGAATGTTGAGAAAGGAGCCCTATTTATACAGGTTGATTTGGTTTTTTCTATTTATCATTTTTATTTTTCTTTAGGTATGTATTTCGTGAAAGATTGAAGTGGGTTTGATTTGTAGGGTGGGTTGCACTATATGCTACTCTCATCTATTTGATCGCTTGCCTCGATGGCTACACTCAGTCCATGAGGACTTCATGTGCTAAATGCCCCTCCGAGAAAAGTTAAACGGTGTCTGGAAAAAAAAAAAGAAAAGAAAAAAGAAAGCCAATGACCCGTTTTTCACACCATACATTTATCGAACATCGCCTATATTTTAAATAACAGTAATTCATTAGTCATACCGTTTCCTTCGTTATTGTTTTAATACAAATTTAAAACTTTACATAATCTTAACTCAATCAACTTTTTTAACATTAATTCTGGTTAACCAAAACGTTCAATCACAACCAAAATAGCTTAGATTCAATCACACCCCTTAAAATTACATCTAGTATTTATCAGTCTGGGTATCAAAAAATGATTAAATATAAACAAAAATTGGAAAAGAAATGAATAACATAATCAAAATTTATGTTCGCTAGTCTTGTTATTATTTCCGATGGAGGGAAAAGTTTACGTTTTTTTTTTTTAATCACAATTTTTTTTTTTCCAGTTATTGTTGATATTTTTCAGTTTTTATTTATCTTCTTAACAAAATATTCCTAATGAATAATTTAAAACTTCAAATATATTGAGTTCATGGATTTAATTTGAATGAATAGATTTTTCTTATATCAAAACTCTAAATTTTCGTTACTTGATACGATATTTTTCGTGTGTATATCCATATTAAACTATATAGTTGACAATAAAATTCAAGTTGTCCAACCTCATAAAGATGTATAGTACAATTTTATAAATGTTTTAATTTTCTGCATAATTTTGTGTAGATGGTGGCCTTAATTTTTAATTTTCTGCAGAAATTTGAGGTAGATGGTGGCCCTAATTTTGAAATATAGAACTTGTTTTCTTAAACATACTGTTTTTAAAGAGGTTTTGAGGTAAATATATGGTGATCACTTCTTTTTTTGGATATCCAACCAATGTATTCGGATCTATGTCTCAATTAATTCGTTGGTCGACTTGGGTCGCACACCTGACTGTGGTGGGTGAGTCTCCCAGCAAGGGCTTTCTACATTTACAAGAACTCGAACCCAACAAGTGACTTTAATTTTAAAATATGGAATTTGTTTTTCTAAAACACACTGTTTTTAAACGTAGTTCATTAATCTAAGTTGAAGATGTACTGAATATTCATGTTATTTTTTTATTTTTCTGTCTCAATTTTTTTTTGTCATTTTATTTTTATTTTTTATAGGTGTTGTTTCATAATCGCATGTAATAAAATTAAAACAAAAGTAAATAAATGCATAAAATATTTTTTAATAATAGAACTAAAATATATTTATTATAACATTAAAACTAAAAGTAAATAAATGCTTAAAAGAATTATAAATAGAACCAAGATTAATCTTTGGTTCTATTATAATTTTTGGTAACTCAAATACCTATGGATGTTTTGGTAACTCAAATAATATTGTAGAAACATATGTTAATTAAAATTATACTTCGACATTAAAAATAATTTAAATAAAAAAAATTAAAAATAGAATATTTGGTGTAGAGTAAAATGCAACGCAAATTGTTGGAACGCAAATAGTTGGAGATGAAATGCCTTCCACATATTTTGCTTTTTTTCATACTCTCCGAATAAGTTGATCAAAACTAATAAACACAAATTTGCATCACTACTAAATAAATAAATTTATATCGATTATATAATATAAGTTTCATACACACAAAAAATTTGGTGTCTAATAGGCCGGCAATAAGGTCTAAAATTTTAAAGATCAAAAGTAAAAAATACATAATATGCCCATTAATTTGACGCTATATACAACAACAACAAAGTCTTTTTAGTCCCAAACAAGTTGGGTAGGCTAGAGATGAAACTCAATAGAAACAGTAGAAAAATAAATAAATAAATAAATAAAAATAATAATAATAAAAATAATAATAATAATAATAAAATAAAAATAAAAATAAAAATAAAATTAAAAATAAAAAAAAATAAAAAAAAAAATATAAAATAAAATAAAAAAATAAAAAAATAAGATTTGGAGCAAAAGAGAAAGGAGCAAAAGTCACGGTTCCGGCACGTTGATCGCTAGTCTCCAAGCGCTCCTATCCACCGCCAAATCCTTGGAGATATTCCAATCTTTAAGGTCTCTCTGAACCGACTCTTCCCAAGTGAGTTTAGGTCGGCCTCTACCTCTCTTAATTTGAGGCTATATATATACCAAAATAAGACATAATTTTATAAATTATAAAATTATCACTAATTAACTAAAATTGAAAACATTCTGCCCAATAAAAATTTTCACTAATTAATTATAGAAAATGTCTGTCATATCTACTATAAAAATTATATAAATTTTGACATAATAATAAGTGTGACGATATTTTTATTATTTCGTGGATGTGAAGCATCGGACGAGTGATGGGCCGTTTATTGGATGTCTCATTATTGAGCCCATTAAAGTTAACAAAGTATTATAATCTAAGCCCATTGTCGTTGGGGAAATTTACACACATCCTTTAATTGAGGCTTCTCCTTTTTTTTCTTTCATGGGCCTAAGATATTGACATGGAATTGGGCTCAATGTATAAGTTCCAAGAGTTCAACTGAATGGATGTAGCGTGGATGTTTTTGGAGAAATTCTGATTGGATGAAAGGCAAGTAGGTGGGGGCATTTACACTTCTGCTGTAATGAATTGGTTTTATTTGCAACTATACCGAGTTTATAATTTAATTGCATTTATACTTAACTTAATTAAATTATTTATATACGTACACTATATGGCAAGATCAAGCCATAATATCTTACTATAACAAGTTTTCGTAATTGACGGATGCATGGCTGGAGAGAGAATATCTGGCAGAAAATTAGGAGGATTCCACGCTTAAGGGATTCATTACATAGAAAAAAAAAGAAAAGTAAATTGAAGAACAATAAATCGCACGAAAATATGGGGACTGTGTACATTGTACAATGTACAGGTAATATAACAGGATATATACATGACATATACGTTTTTATGCCGATATTTTTATCACAGTCTTTGTTTATGTCGGATATATACATGATATATATACATAACATATATATTTTTATACATCTACAAATTATACGTGTATATATCCCAGTGTTAGTCGACATTTTTTATTTATCGACTTTTTTATTGGATTGAATTGTTTATAGTTCTTTCAAGATATAAGCACAAATCTGGCGCAACATCAATACAAGTATTGTATGTTATTTTGTATTGTAAGTTTAAAATTTGTGTATATAATCTGAAATATTTAGGTTACAACAATTATGAGAAAATTAAAAAATAACAGGCAAAACTATTTTTCGTGAAAAAAATAAAAATCATAAAATGAACCATCTCGCAATACAATAGCCTCGCTATACAGAATATATACGAGATATATACGGACTATATACATAGTATATACGGAATCGACGAATTCGAGGACCTCAGCCCGCCCCCCTCCTTCCCTAACCTCGAGGTTGCGATCAAGTCCTTCATCAGAACCCCAGTCAACGCCACCTTTCTCAAGCTTAATTGAGGTCGCCTTCCCTAAGCTTAACTGGAGGGCTAGCGCCGGCGAACCGCTATCTCTGGTTGTTGGAGGGCCAGCGCGCCTCCTCGGTTTCGTGGTGCGCCGTCGAGGTTTACGGTCGCCTTACTCTCGACGGGTCTGCCACTCCATCGATCCGTCGACCCCGCGCTCATCTAAGTCGTGGATCGCCCGTATTCGCCCGATAAAGGAAAAAAATAAATAAAAATTTCAACAGTAAGAGGAGAGAGAATTTTAAGCATAAAGAAGAAGAAGAAGAGAGAGAGAGAGAGAGAGAGAGAGAGAGAGAGAGAGAGAGAGAGAGAGAGAGAGAGAGAGAGAGAGAGAGAGAGAGAGAGAGAATCATGGTTAGATTTTGGGAGGTGATAAGGTTTCCATTAATTACTCCAAAATTGATTGCATAAGTAAATTAATGATTTTATTGAAATCTGGTAGTTTTGCAAATAAAAAGTACCAAACTAGTTGAATTGTAATTATTTATAACTTGGTTTTATTTATGCAATAAAGAATTGTATGTCACGTTTTATGGTGCAAATTTCTCTATCTCTTAGTCAATATTTATACATCTTTATAGTTGGGCTAATATGGGCCCGTATATCTAATGGCTAATATGGTTTTTTGCTAACCGTCCGCTTTCACACAACCGTTGGGTCGGGCAACCTCGCACTCAGGTCAGGCAAGTATCATCTTTGAGAGCCTTCGTCAGTCCGGGCCTCGTGCGTTGCACTGCCGCTTATAGCCCCGTCGAAGTGGATCTCCATGGATTCGAAATTGAAAGGTAATTTTTAAAATTTGTGAAATTGTTTGCTGTGAGAAATTATGGAAAAGAAATCAAGGATCGAAAGGATGAAAGAAGAAGAAAAAGATGAGGGTTATAGAGAGAGAGAGAAAGAGAGACAGAGAGAACACGTAATAGATGAGAGAGAGAGAGAGAGAGAGAGAGAGAGAGAGAAGATAGCCGCATTAATTGCTACAGAAATCTCATGTAGAGAACACGTAATTTTGATGAAAAGTTTATCTACTCGTAATTTTGATATTATTTCCATAAGCAATTGTAATGAGTGTAATTTTCTCAAGAATTATTTGCTGGGAGGAGTTGTACCACATATCGTATTGGGACATTAACAAAAGTGAAAATAACTATTTTCATCCCGTTTTGAAGTCTTGTTAAATTTTTCACATCGCCCAATAAAAAACTAAGATCATGTTTGTATACAAGATATCTCAAAAAAAAAT